CGCACCTGAGCGGCCCCGCTTCCCCCCCAAAACCCCTGACATCGTGATTTTTTCGCAGCGTCGACCCCCAAAGGTCTGGACCCCTTCCCCGGGACCGGTCTTTCATCCCGAGCCGTTTTCTGACGGTCCCGAGGCCGGGGAATGGACCCCGGAGGCCCCAAGTAGCGAAAAAGCGCCCGCCGTAAATTTTCCGCGAACGTGTCGCAACGCGAGGAGGTCCCGCTCCTCTCGTCCAAACTGAAGGGGCCCCAGAACACACAAATAAATATACAAAAATAAAAGATTCCACATATTTTCCAATATTTTCTGGATTTTTGTCTTCCCCCCCACTTCCCATATTTTCCAATATTTTCTGGGGGATCGACGATTCATTGTGTCTGTGTGTTTTTTCCCCTCCTGAGTCGCGCGTGCCCCGCTGGGGAGCCCGCCCCTGACCAGCACGGCATGGCGCGGAGGCCGCAGCCCATACCGAGGCAAATTTGAAGGGGCCCTGGGACACACAAATAAATGCACACAAATAGAAGGATTCCCTATATTTTCCTATATTTTTTCTGGGTTTTTGTCTTCCCCCACACTCACCATCTTCTCCCATATTTTCCTGGGAGTGGACGATTCAATGTGTCTGTGTGTTTTTCCCCCTCCTGTAAACTGACTGATCGAGCATGCCTGGACAGGGGGGGAGTGGAGCGAGAGTGCCACGCACGAGGAACAGGGGGGAGGATGGCGAGGAGAAAGCGGACATGTTTGCACGTGTGTTGGGTTTCCGGCGGGTTCTCGTCCCGCTCCTGTCGGCCGTCGGCGCCGCCCACGGCGCAGCGGTACACCGGACGGCTCGCTGAGGGGACGACGACGACGACGACGACAACCAAGTCGCAGTGGGCAGCTGCTTCCCTCGACGGTCGGCGGCATGTGCAGGTCGACAGCGCGTCGCGATGCCTCGCTGTGCAAGATCCATGGGGTGAGGGGCAACGCAACGATGGGGGGGGACTGGCATCGGGGGAGGCACATCGACCTGGAATCGGCGGTACGTCGCCAGTGTATCGGCGAGAGGCCCCCAGTAGTCTCCGCACGCTCCTGGGCAGGTTTTTGGGCTATATTGGGCCCCGGGCGGAGCAAGGCCCCAGGCGCGGCTTCTTCCAGCACATGGCCCCTCCGCAGCACGCGCGCGGGCCTTCCGCACGTTGGTGGCACGCCTCTGACACCGCCTGGGCACAGCCGCGACGTGACACACCACGTCCCTGGGGCCAGTCGAGCTCCGAGCGAGCTGGGAGTCAGTCGAGCACCTGCCCCCTGCAAGGCCCAACACAAACCGCCTCGGGGTTGTGGGTATAATTGTGTCGGAGCTCCCGAATTGAGGGGCCGACCGTCCTGGCATTCCTGCAGGCCCTCTGGCCGAAGCCCTACCCGCCGCCACGCTGGTCCCGGGCAGGCTGTGCTTCCCTAGGGCCAGTTTTTCTTCCTGCATCGTGTTTCGAGGCTCCCGAAAGCTGGCGAGGGCGCCCAGAAGCCGAAAACGCCCCCAAACCGGCCGCTTTGGGGCACAGCCTCGACGTGACACATGCGGGGCGATCCTCCGACCCTGGAGGCCGAGATCTTTGCCGCCCCCGACGAACTCCCGCCCCCTCTCCCAGCGCACCCGCGCTGGGCCTCGGCGCCGCGGGGCCGCGTGCTCGGAGGCCCGGGGTGGGAGCACCGCGGGGCCCCGCCGGCGAGGCCCGCCGCTCGGGCCCGGGCCCGCTGCTCGGGAGTGCCGGCAGCTCGTGGCCGCCTGCTCCTGCTCCTGATGGCTCCTCATCCTGCCGATCCCCCTCCTCCTGCTCCTCCTCCGCCTCCTCCTCCTCGTCGCCGTCCTCGTCCTCGTCCTCGTCCTCGTCCTCGTCCTCGTCCTCGTCCTCGTCCTCGTCCTCGTCCTCCTCTTCCTTCTCCGCCTCCTCCTCCTCCTCCTCTTCCTGCCGATCCCCCTCCTCCCCCTCCTCCTCCTCCTCGTCCTTCTCCTCCTCCTCCTCCTCCTCCTCCTCCTGCCCCTCCTCCTTTTCCTCCTGATCCCCCTCCTCCCCCTCCTCTTCCTCCTCCTCCTCCTCCTCCGCCTCCTCCTCCTCCTACATTCTGTCTCCTCATGAATAACTCCTCCCTGTCGCACCCGGAAGCCAGTCGGAAGGGCGGGCGGGTTGTTTCATCCGGGATTTCCTTCCCATTCGGATCCTGAAATTTAGCAGATGCAAGAGTTTCACGGATGCAAGGTGGGTGGTTTTCAAAATTATGGCTCTCGCCTTCGCGCCGCGCACATTTTTTTGTTTCTTCCTCTTTTTTTGTGTTCCCACTTTTTTTTGTTTTGTGTGTGCGTTTTGTTGTTCTATATAACATTCGCAAGAGTTTCACGGATTGAGGGCAGGCGGCTTTCAACATGTGGCTCTCGCCTGCTCGTCTTCAAACCTTGCAGGGGTTTCGCGGATCCAGGGTGGGCCGCTTTCAGAATGTGGCTCTCGCCTTTGTCCTAACACTGTGCAGGATTTTCACATATTGACGGCGGTCTGGTTGGAACTAGTAGCACTCGCCTTAGCGCCGCGCGCATGTTTCTGAAACCATGGCAAGAGTTTCACAGACTCGCATGACTGGCGTACCATACACGGTGTTTGGAACGATTCAGGGTTGTCAAGGCGCAACATGTACGTTGATTCGCGGAATTGAAATCCCAGGAATGATGTCCTGGCGCGATCTAGGACCGTCAAGACGCAATCGTCAAGTCGATTCGTGGCGTTCGAGTCCCGGTAATTGTGTTCTGGCACGCTGCAGGATCTTCAAACGGTTCTCCGAGCTCCTCCTCCTCCTGTTCCTCCTCCTCCTCGCTCCTCCTCCCTGCCGCTTGCCCTCCCCACCCCTGCTTCTCCTCCTGCTCCTCCTCCTCCTCCTCCTCCTCCTTCCTCTCCTCTTCCTCCTCCTCCTCCTCCTTCCTCTCCTCCTCCTCCTCCTCCTCCTCCTACTCCTCCTCGTCCTCCTCCTCCTCTTGCTGCCCTGCCCCTCGCCCGAAGTCTCCCCTGGCGATGGGGCCACCCCTGTGCGTGGCCGAGGGGCGCCCGCGGAGCCCCCCCAAACGCTCCACGTCGCAGCGTCGCAGCGCAGAGGCCGTCCTGTTCGCGACCTCGGGCGGGCCGAGGAGACGGCAGGCGCCAGTCGTCCGGCGGCAGGGGTGGGAGGAGGAGGAGGAGGGGGAGGGGGAGGGGGAGGAGGAGGAGGAGGAGGAGGAGGAGGAGGAGCAGGAGGAGGAGGAGGGGGAGGGGGAGGGGGAGGGGGAGGGGGCGGCCGCGGGGCGGGGGAAGGGAGGGAGAGCGCTCACGCGGCGGAGACCCCCCCCAGACCCCCGACGTCGTGTCTTTCTTCACGGCGCGATGCCCCCCAAAATCGGTCGGGCGGGTGGTAACCGGGGGGGTGGCCTGCATGGGGGGCTAAGAGCAGGGCCCCAAAGAGGCCCTCTAAAGGCCCCTTTAGGGTCCCCGTTGGCGCCAAACTGGGCCCTCCAGGGGCCCCTTAGGACCCTTTTCCTTCGCGCTCCATTGAATTTAGGTCGGGCTGTCCCCCTAGAGGGGGACTCTGGACGAAAAATAAAAAATACCCCCAAAATATTCCCAGATGGTCAAAAGATACTCGAAAAATCGTCCCCAGACTATTTTTTGACTATTTCGGCTTATTCCTCCAGTAGAGGGACGGGCCCGACTTGAATTTAAATCACCCCCCCTGCCACCCGCCCGAGTCTGGACCCCTTCCCGGCGACCGGCTTTTGAATCCCGAGCCGCTTATTGACGGGCGCGAGGCCAGGCAGGGGCCCCCCGGAGGCCAAACATACGATCGAAACTCGTGGTACGGATGCGCGGTGAGGATGCAAGGGACGTGGGCGCCCATGCCGAGGCTCTCCGAGCGGGCCCGGCCATCGGAAGTGGTCGAGGATGGACCGAAGACGACCGAAGAGGCAAGGATGCAAGGGCTAGAAGCCTCCTCGATGGGGTCCGAATAGATGGGGTCGGAGGATCGCGCCGCATCGCCGATGCATCGGCGATACATCGCCGATGCATCGGCGCCATCGGCGGGCAGAAAATCGGGATCCACATCGAGCCGCACCTATGTCGACTCCATATGGGAGGCCTAGAAGCAGGGATGCAGGGGTACCCTTGGGAAGTCGCTCATCCCTACTACCGGTTTCGATTCTATGTCGCCGCGCCGTTTGTTCCCGACGCGCCCAAGTTGACGACGCCGACACCACGGCAAACCCACGGCAAACCCACGGCGAGCCCTGCGCCTAAGGCGGCATTTACCCTGGTGGCCGCGGCGCCCTCCCCAAGACGGAACGCCGCGCACCAGAATAAACGGCGCGGCGACTGTATGCAAAAACCTCCACACCTAGACATCCGGCTGCTCGAATGTTTTCGATGCGTGGGCCCCGGAGGTCTGGACCACTTCCCTGTGGCCAGTTCTTCGTCCTGGATCGTTTCTCGACGCTCCCGAGGCCCAGCGAGGGCCCCCAGAGGCCAAAAAAGGGCCCAAAGCCGCCCGTTCCAATTTTTGTCGGATAAGCAGCGCGAGGGGCGCTCAGCTTTAGATCGGCTTCCCCTCATGGGGGCCATAACCGCATCCACCGACAGCGAGCACGAGCACGAAGGCGACAGCGCGCAAACACCTCCAGATGCGCTACTCCTCGTCCTTCCCTTCCCCCCCCTCCTTCTCCTCCTCCCTCCTCCTCCTCCTCTCTCCTCCCTCCTCCCTCCTCCCTCCTCCTCCTCCTCCTCCTCCTCCTCCCTCCTCCATCCTCCCTCCTCCTCCTCCTCCTCCTCCTCCTCCCTCCTCCTTCCTCCTCCTCCCTCCTCCTCCTCCTCTCCTTCCTCCTCCTCCTCCTCCTCCTCCTTCTCCTCCTCCTCCTCCCCTCGCTCCTCGTCCTGCTAGCGGCCTCGACCGTATGCAGACACCTCCTCGGGCGCGAGGGGGTCTGGACCCGCCGCGCGCGCGGCCGCCTCGAAGATCTGCGCGGCCAGCTGCGGCAGCGCGCTCATCATGCGGAGGTGCCTGGCGCGGGGCGGGCCCGAGCGGGCCGCGGCCCGAGCGGCCCAGGCGTCCGAGCGCGCTGGAATGTATCCATAGATCCGTCCATACATCTACCTACAGATGCGTCCCTCTATCCATGCATACATCCATCCATCTATCCACGCATACATACATCCATGCATACGTCCATCTTTCCATCCGTCCATCCGTCCATACATTCACCTAGCCATGCATGCATGCATACATACATAGGTACATACATACATGCACACATCCATCCATCCATCCATCCATCCATCCATCCATCCATCCATCCATACATACACATACATACATGCATACACACGTGTACGTATATGCATATATACATGCATGCAAACGTGCATGCACACATACATCCATCCATACATGCATACATACACACATTCGTAATACAAGCACACATTCCTGCATACACACATGCATGAACACACACATACATACAAACACCCATGCACACATGCACACACATCCATCCAAACATATACACACTCCAATACATACGCGCATGCACACATACATACATGCATACATACATACACATACACACGTACCGACCTACACACATACACAATACATACACTTACATACAAACATCCATACATACGTACATGCATGCATACAGACGTACGGACGGACGTGCGTACGTACATGCATACATCCAAACCTACACACTTACATACAAGCATATAAACCGGCATCCTCAAATACGTGCGTGCATACATGCATGCATGCATGCGTGCATGCATGCATATAGGTATACATGCATACGCGCATACATGCATGCATGCATACATACATACATACATACATACAGACGTAAAAATACCGAGCCATTATGGAGGGGAACTTCGTACAATGTGACAGCCGAAGAGCAAGCCCGAAACACGTAGTCCACCTTTGTCAAAGTGACACCGGCAGGAAACAAAAACGCGGCCGTCTTCGCCTCGCCCCTGACGCGGGCCCCGTCAGATCCGACGCTCCGTCAAAAAATTGGAGCGGGCAGTGTTTGGCCGTTTCCGGCCTCTGGGGGCCCTCGTCAGGCCTCGGGAGCGTCGAAAAGCGACCCAGGGCGAAAAACCCGCCCTAGGGAAGTGGTTGGGACCTCTGGGGCCCACGCATCGATAAAGTGGGAGCAGACGGATGTCTAGGATTAGCTCGTGCGCGCTCGGCGCCTCCTTCACCAGCTCTAATTGCACGGTTTCCCCCGGGGCCGTGGGCGACCCGAGGAGGAGGAGGAGGAGGAGGAGGAGGAGGAGGAGGAGGAGGAGGCGGAGGAGGAGGAGGAGGAGGAGGAGCAGGAGGGGGAGGGGCAGGAGGGAGAGGAGGAGGAGGATGGAGGAGGAGGAGAGAGGAGGAGGATGAGGAGGAGGAGATGGAGAGGAGGAGGAGGAGGAGGGGAGGAGGAGGAGGAGGGAGGAGGAGGAGGCGGAGGCGGAGAGGAGGAGGAGGAGGAGGAGGAGGAGGAGGAGGAGGAGGAGGAGGAGGAGGAGGAGGAGGAGGACGGGTCGCCAAAGCCCTTCGGAGAAACCCTCCAGCTCCAGGTCCCGTCCGCATCTGCTGGAATGAGGCTGCGAGCCCGCTGCGACGGAATCGCGAACAACATCTTGACTTAATTGTTGACATGTCAGCGAGCAATTTTCCGTTGTTCTCGGCGTTCGGGAGCCCCTCGCCGGGCCCCCGCGCTGTCAAAAGACGATCCTGGAGCTATGTTGCCCCCATCGTGCTTAAGGACCACATCCCATACATAATTTCGAGCACCCAGAGAAAGTATCAAAGCAATGTCGAACGAGTATCGCCTCCCAGGGCCCGACACGTGAAAACCTCCACTTTCGGTACTTTCTTGGTGCTCGATTTTTTTGTGGTGACCAGGGCGAAAGTAGGCTGGAACATCATCTGTCTAGGATTCGCTCGTGCGCGCTCGGCGCCTCCTTCACCAGCTCCAGGTCCTGTCCGCGTCTGCTGGAGTGAGGCTGCGAGCCCGCTGCGACGGAATCGCGAGCAATATCGTGACTTAGTCGTTGACATGTTCGCGAGCATTTCTAGTTGCTCTCGGCGCTCTCGGCGGCCCTCGCTGGGCCCCCGCGCTGTCAAAGATGATCCAGGAGGAACACATGGTCCTCGGGAAGTGGATGGAAGTGGTGCAGGGCGCGGGGGATTCCATGCTGAACAGGGCAAGACGTCGGAGGTCTGCGGAGCGCCTGGTTGGAGGGTTTCTCCGAAGAGCTTAGGCGACCCGTCCTCCTCCTCCTCCTCCTCCTCCTCCTCCTCCTCCACCTCCTCCTCCTCGTCCTCCTCCTCCTCCTCGTCCTCGTCCTCGTCCTCGTCCTTCTCCTCCTCCTCCTCCTCCTCCTCCTCCTCGCCTCCTCGCCTCCTACTCCTCCTCCTCCTCTCCTCCCTCCTCCTCCCTCCCTCCTCCTCCTCCTCTCCTCCTCCTCCTCGTCCTCCTCCTCCTTCTCCTCCTCCTCCTCCTCCTCCTCCTCCTCCCTCCTCTCCTCCTCCTCCTCCTCCTCCTCATCCTCCTCCTCCTCCCTCCTTGTCCTTTCCTCCCCGCCTCCTCGTCCTCCTCCTCCTCCTCCTCCTCCTCCCTCCTCCTCCGCCGCTCCCTCCTTCCTCCTCTCCCTCCTCTCATCCTCGTCCTCGTCCTCCTCCTCCCCCTCCCTCCTCCTCCTCCCTCCTCCCCCTCCCCCCTCCTCCTCATCCTCCTATCCTCCTCCTCCCTCTCCTCCTCCCCCTCCCCCTCCTCCACCTCCTCCTCCTCCTTCTCCTCCTCCGCCTCCTCCTCCTCCTCCTCCTCCTCCTCGGGTCGCCTACGGCCCCGGGGGAAACCGTGCACGGACGGTGCGGCGGCAGTCAGCGCGATGGCCTTGAAGTCCGCAGAGGCCTCGCCGCACCCGGCGCCGCACGGCTTCAGGATCTGTAGGAGGCCCCAGGTGCTCGAGAGAACTTGCCAGCGCTGGAAAAGTGAAGGGCTAGAGCTCCACATTGGAACGCCATCGGAAACAATCGATGCCATCACGGCCCCCTCCGAAAGACTGTTGCGGGACGTTCGTGGACAATGGAGCAGCCTCGAGCAGTCACCAAGAACAATCCAGCGGGCCTCGACAGACAGTCGAACGCAATCGGCAGCCATCGTTGGGCACTCGAAGGGGGGGCGACGAGAGCCATAGCGCCTCGAATGGTCATGATGGTCTTCCTACGTGCCACGCCGCTGCTGCGGAGAAGAGTTGGCGGCGGCTCGGCCATAACCCCCCACGCGCAGCCCCCAAGTGTAGTCCCCTCTGGTGTCGCCCCCTTGTGTGGCCTCCACGTGAGGCCCCTGGGTGTGCCCCCCACCTCCCCCCCCAGTGTCGGCCCCGTGTGTAGCCCTCACGTGTGGCCCCGATGTGCAGCCCCCAGTTTCGGGGGCGTGCTTAGAGTGGGGCGTCCAAGGGGGGGAGGCCCAAATCATGGCCGGCGGCATATGGGCGGCCCGGGGCGGGGGGACGTGTTGAAATCAGACGAGGCCATATGAAATCTGGGGAGATATCATGGCCCACGCTATGATATCACCCTCCCCAGTCATCACCCCCCTCCTGGCCGCCCTCGACAGTTGTATTTCCCAAATGGCTTTCTGGCAACCCTGAACCCCCAAATGTTGTGTCATCTTTTGGGGTACTGGGTTTGCTTCCGCCAGCTTCGGCCGGCCTTCCGCCGGCGGAGGTAGTCTCGCTCTACTTCCGCCGCCTTCGGCCGTGGAAGAGATGCCGACTCTTTCGATCCTCGAATGCGAGACTCTTTCTGGAACGCCTCGTGTGTAGCTAGGTGCAGACTTACATAACCTCGGCAATTGTCGAGAGCCGCCCCTCCCTTGGCGAGACATGAGCGGCGCGCAAGAGCTTCGAAGCGCCCAAGGCCTCTCGATCACTCTCGCCAGCTCCTCCGTGGACTTGCTGACCACGAGGCTCCTGCGCACGGTGGGCAACGACAGGGCGGGACCAGCTCAGAGGGGGGAGGCATCGACATGGAATCGGCCACACGTATATCGCCGACAGAGCGGCCATGGGCTCCCGACAGCGAATCCGCATGCTCCTGGGCGGGGCGGGCTATCGGGCCACCATCGGCGATCAATTGGCGACTGGGGGCTCGATGCGTCCCCCCCCCCTGGAGCCTACACCTCCCTATCCTTGCCCCTGAGTGCAGCGGTGCCGCCTGCCGAATCCTGCCAAATCCTTGCGCGACGAAGAACCCCAAATCTCAGACGATCTTTCGCTTTTCATTTTTGTTGTTGTGTGTGTTTTTTGCTTGTTTGTTCAAATATCTTTTTTTGGACAGCCCGGGCGTTTGCTCCTCGATCCCTGCCTCCAGGGCCCCGCGTCGGGCCCGGGGGACCTTCGGGCACGGCTCCGGGAGGCAGAACCGCCCCCCCCCCCGGGAAGGGGTTGGGACCTCTGGGGCCGCGGACTGCACAACTCACCTCGTCGCATCTCTGGGAAGAGCTCTCTCGCCCTCCGCCCGCCCCCCCCCCCTGCGCCTCCTCTGAGCGGCAGGCCCCCCTGCTCTCCTTCCGTCGGCTGCGGCGGCCCTGGGCGGGCGGGGAGGGGCTCTCCCACAGCCGCTGGACCTCGACGAGGGCTTGGCGACACCGCCCCCCGCCCTCCGACGTCGTGCTTGTTTCAGGGAGCGACCCGCAGAGGTCTGCACTCCTACTCCTCCCCGCGGACCGGCTCTCCATCCCGAATCGTTTCTTCGGACGGCCCCGAGGCCCGGCGAGGGCCCCTGGAGGCCGCAAATCGGGGAACGCCTTCCGCCTGGACTTTTGTCACCGCGGGGAGGGCTCGGTGGTACACGAGCAGGGAGGAGAGAGGCGCTTCCAGGTGGCACCGCAGCGCGGCGCAGGGCAGGCGGCACGCCCAGGGACGCCGCGGCACGCTCCGCGCTCTCTTGGGCAGGAGGCGCGAGGCATGCCCCAATCGTTGCTATGCTCGTGCCGCTCCTCCTCCTATAAGACGAAGCCAGAACGAAGATAACATCTAGTGAGGACGAAACGAGCATCTCGGAGATCCAACGGCTCTGGAGAGTGTGTCGAGCGCCGCGGCCTTCTCAGAGCGTTCCGGAACGCTCTGGGAGCGTTCTGGGACGCTCTGAAACGGACTTATTCTGGTCCTAACCCCGTCCGATCCTCCTCCTTCTCCGTTTTCAAAATGTGGCTCTCGCCTTAGCGCCGCGCACATTCGTTCCAAACAAGTGCAAGAATTTCGCGGATTGAGGGTGGGTGGTTTTCGAAATGTGGCTCTCGCCTTAGCGCCGCTAAACAAGTTGCAAGAGGTTCACGGATTCCCACGATCAACGTGCCAGAAATTGTGTTTTGTAGAGATTCGGGAGAATAAGGGTGCAACAATTTTGCTGTTTCGCGGTGCTGAAATCCCAAGGATGGCATCCATGCGCGATTACAGATCGTCAAGACGCAACAGTCAGGTTGATCCGTGGCGTTGGAATCCCGAGAGCAATGTTTTGGCATGCGTTAGGGTCTTCAAACGGTTGTCTTCCAGCTAGGCAGTAGAGGGCCTATGAAGAGGAAGCTTGGAATGAGTTTGTTTTCCAACATCGTTGATGACTCTTGGGTTGACACTCCTCCTCCTCCTCCTCCTGCTCTTCCTCCGAGCCTGCACTCGGGGCCCAGCTTTTCGTCCCTGGCCGTTTCTTGATGGCCCAGGGGCTCAACACCCAGACCTCCGACGTCCCACTCCACAGGACTGGGTTTTCATCCCGAGTCGTTTTTTGACTGTCCCATGGCCTGGCGAAGGCCCCCAGGGGCCCGAAATAGCGAAAAACCTCTGGTCCTGTTTTTTTTTGACGCGACCATGTCTGGGAACGGGCCTCTGGATGCCAACATCTGGTCAACAAAGCGAGCGCCGGGCTTCTCTGCCACGGGGCGGGCAGAACAGACCGACTCCCAGAGCCGTCCAGGGGTGCGCTCCGGCCAGGGACCTCGGCGCGGATCCAGCCATGGCCAAGGCGGGGCCCGACTTCTCAGCCCTCCTCCTCCTCCTCCTCCTCCTCCTCCTCCAGCTCCTCCTCCTCTTCCTCCTCCTCCTCCTCCTCCTCTTCCTCCTCCCTTTCCTCCTCCTCCTCCTCCTCCTCCTCCTCCTCCTCTTCTCATCCCCGGCCGGTCTTTCGATGGCCCCCCCGGGCGCGCAGCAGGCCCGGGGATGCAGGCATCTGCTCCGAGAGCGAGCGCCGTGCTCTTCTCCGCGGGCGCGGGGGGTCGGCCCGGGCCGGAGGCAGACCGACTCCCAGGGCCGTGCAGGGGTGCGCTCTGGCCGGGGGATCTCGGATAACATGTGTACACCCTGCGAAATGCTTAAGAAATCATGGGTTAAGAAATTCATAGTCTCAGAACTTGAAGAAAACCCAGAACTTCTATCATAATCTTGGGATTTACATTGAAAAGTTAAGAATAATCGAGACCCTGGACGAAAACTTGGGTTTTCTTAAGCATCGCCTAGGGTGTGAAACATGTTCCAAATAGTTTATATATATACGTACACAACATGTTTGAACCATTTTTTAGACATCTGGAAATTATTTGGCAGCATGCTTCCTCTCCATGAATCGACTTCCACAGGTCTGGGGGTCCAGCCCTGGCCAAGAGGGCGCTCCGCGAGGCCCCAGGAGGCTCAAAGTCGGCGGCGCGCCCTGCCGTGGGGGAAGGCGACGAGGGCGAGCCTCCCCGGAGGGCCGAGGAGGCCGCTGGCCTTCTCAGAAGCCTTCGGAGCCTTCTCTTAAGTCGGGCCTGTCCTCCTACAGGGGGATTTTGGAAGACAAATGAAAAGTAATCAAACACTACCCCGAAATAGTTAAAACGATATTAAGAAACAACCGTCCCCACTATGTGTGTACGTATGTATGTATGTATGTATGTATGTATGTATGTATGTATGTATGTATGTATGTATGTATGTATGTATGTATGTATGTATGTATGTACATAGATATATACATACTTATATCTACTGACAACTTTTGACTATTCTCCCCGTAGAGGGGCAGGCCCGACTTGAGCCTTCTCCGAAAGCGCAGGTGGCTCGGAGGGCCCGGAGGCTTCTGAGAGGCCCCACCGCCCCCCGAGGAGGCCTGCCCCCCCCCCCCTCTCCCAGGACCCCCTCGGGGCACGGAGACGTTGCGACGCCAGTCTTCGTTTCGGCCTCGAGGAGGGGCCCTTACTGGGCGTCGGGACCGAGCAAAAAACGACTCAGGGCGAAAACCCAGTCCCGGGGAATGGGCTGAGAGATCTCTGGGGGTCGACGTCATGAGAAGAGGACCTGACGTTGGGGATCTGGGCTCACTTCCCCCGTGGCGCGCTGCCGAAACTTTTCAAGTCCGCGGGCGCCAAGGTGTGCGAGATGGTCAGGCCCCGGTCAAAGCGAGCGGTGGGCTGCACCGGAAGCGAAGATAAAGGCAGGACAACGAGAGCGCAAAGATGGCGCAAGAGAAACATGGGGCCCGATCAGGTGCTCCCTAAACGGACGCGTCCAGGAACCCCGATCCCCGCCCACAGGCGCCCGAAGTCCGCGGCGGCGGCGACAGTCGACGCAGCGTCTGCGTCTCCTGTTGGAGTTGGCGAGCACCGACGTGCCGATCTGATCGTGCGGCAGGCTGTCGCTCTCGTCGATCCTGCCGGGGGGGCTCTCTGGCGCTGCCCCTCGGGGGGAAGGGCGGAGGAGAAGAGCGAAGAGGATGCAGAGGACCCAGACACCTGGCTCCTCCAACTCTTTCGATGCGTGTGCCCTGGAGGACCGGAGCATTTCCCTGCAAAGGGGCGGTTTCTCGTCTGGAACCGTTGTTTGACGCTCCCGAAGCCTGGCGAGGGCCCCCGGAGACCGGAAACGGCCAAAGACCGCCCGCTCCACTTTTTTTTCTCGGATCTCCGGGGCTAAGATGAAACAAGACGGCGCCTCGAGGACGCAGCAGGTCACCGGGCCACACTAAAAAGGAAACGCGGTTCTTACGGTGCCTGCTGGGCGCGGGAGGTCTCTTGGGGGGGAGGGACGGAGCAGGAGAACGAAGAGGACGCAGAGGAAGATGTCCTCTTCGTTCTCCTCCTCCTTCCCTCTCCTCGGGGGTCGGGCCCCTTTCCTTTTTCTCTCCTCGGGGGTCGGCCCCCTTTCCTTTCTCTCTGGCCCTTTCTTCCGTGGTCCCTCGGGCCTCTGTCCGTCGCCTCGGCCGCTGGCGGCTGATCTGGCCTCGCGAGGCCTTAGGGCCCCCCTGTGTCAGGGCGCAGCAGCAGCGCTGCCCCCCCCGAGCGGCAACGGCCGCAGCCTCCGCGGCACCGGCCGCGGAGGCGTCGGCCGCGTCGCGAGAGCGACATTGGGCCGCGCCTCGAAAGGCTCGAAAGGAAGATGTGTCGCCGCGCCGTTTGTTCTCGACGCGCCCGCGGGGACGACGCCGGCGCCCACGGCGAGCACCCACGGCAAGCCCCCACGGCGTCCCGCACCCCGGGTGTGGGCGGAAGGCCGCCGCGCGGCAGACCCCACGGCGAGCCCTCCGCTCCCCCGAGGTGGCGATTTCGCCCCGGTGGCCGAGGCGCCCATCCCCAAGATCGGGTCGGGCGCAAGGGGGGGATAGCAAAGGGGGGGTTTGAGAACCAGCTCACGTAGGTGACTTTCCCGGCGCCTCCCGGCGCCGGAGGCGGCTATGTATCGAGGAATGGGCCCCTCAGTGGGGCCGAAACCAGCTGCATGTAGCAAATTTCGTACCCCCCCCTTTCCCAATCCCCCCCTTTCGCCCGGCCCGACAAGACGGATGGCCGCGCGTCGGAACAAACGGCGCGGCGACAGATGAAGGGCAATAAGGAGCAGCAGAGTGACCAGGAGTCGAGGGGGTGGAGGGGGGCACTCTGGCGGGTGGCAGACGGGGGGTGACGTGCCCTGGGGGGGGGAAGAGGAGGGCCCTAAAGGGGCCCTTTAGGGCTCCTTTTAGAGCCGGCCGGGGCCCCACAGGGCCCCTTTAGGGTCCTCTTCTTCACTCACCCCCATTAGCACCCGCCCGAGTGCCCCCAGCGTCGGCTCCGCCTGGCATTGCGCGGGGCGCTGCAGGGCCTTCTCGCGGCGACGACGAGCGAGCGAGCGACGACGAGAACGACGACAAAAACGGTGACAATGGAGAAGGAGGAGGAAGAGACGGAGGATGAGGAGGAGGACGAGGGAGAACGGAAGATGACAATGAGGAGGTGGAGGGAGAACACCTGGACCTCCGACACCCTGTTTTTTTCCCACACGCGTGGCTTCAGAGCTCTCTTTCCCATCTCTTGTGCTGTGTGGAATTCGCGCCTCCGAACTCGGGGGCCTAATCTCAGAGAGGTCGGCCGACGACGACGGCGGCGGCAGCCACGACGACGACGGCGGCGACGACGACGACGGCGACGGCGTCGATGACGACATCGGCGGCGGCGGCGGCGACGACTACGGCAGCGGTGATGACGCCGACGCCAGCGGCGAACGCCGTCGACATCGACGACGATGATGGCGACGACACCGGCAGCGGCGGCGGCGGCGGCGGCCACGGCGACGACGACGGCCTCAGTCGCGGCGGCGACGGCGGCGGCGACGATGAAGTCCAGTGCTGAAGCAACAAGTGCTCGTCGATCTCGTCCGCGCCCGGCGTGGCGCCGTCAAGGCCGCCGGGGCTCCCGTCCGCGTCGCCGTCGCCAGGGCCTCCGCGCGGAGAGCGCTGCCGCTGCCGCTGAAGCTGCTGCTGCTGCTGCTCTGCCACCGCCGCCGCCTCCTCTCACCTCCTCTCACCTCCTCTTCCTCCTCCTCCTCCTCCTCCTCCTCCTCCTCCTCCTCCTCCTCCTCCCCCTTCTTCTTCTCGTCCTCCTCGTCCTCCTCGTCCTCCTCGTCCTCCTCTTCCTCGTCCTCTTCGTCCTCCTCGTCCTCCTCGTCATCCTCGTCCTCGTCTCCTCCTCCCTCCTCCTCCTCCTCCTCCTCCATCTCCTCCTCCTCATCCTCCTCCTGTCGCGCGTCGTCGTCGCCAACGTCACCGTCTTGGGGACAGGGGGTCTGTCGGGGTCGACCCTGGCGGCGAACGACGAGGCACAGCTGATGCAAAGCACCCCAAGGCCCGAACACCTCCGAAAACCCATGCCGTCATCGTCGTCATCGTCGTCGTCGTCGTCGTCCTCCTCCTCCTCCGCCTGCTCCTCACTACTTTCCGCCTCCTCCTCTCCTCGTCCCGTTTTCGGTGTAATTCCTCCACCTCCTCCTCCTCCTCCTCCTCGTCCCCCTCCTCCTCCTCCTCCTCCTCCTCCTCCGCCTCGTCCCCCTCCTCCTGTTCCTTCACCTCCTCCTTCTCCTCCTCCTCCTCCTCGTCCCCCTCCTCCTCCTTCTCCTCCTCCTCCTCCTCCTCCTCCTCCGCCTCGTTTCCCTCTTTCGTCTCGCTCCCTCCCTCCCGCCTCCTCCTCCGGCAAGGCTCCGGCTCGCGGTCGGGGTACGACCAGATCGCACTATTCATGGCGTGCACGGCACTGCCTGCCTGTCCCGTGAGCATGCTTATCCTTCTGCAGTCGCTGCTGCTGCTGCCCATCCCTCTGCTCCCCCTCCTCATCTTTATCTTCCTCTTCCTCTTCCTCTTCTGCTGCTCATCCCTCTGCTCCCCCTCCTCATCTTCATCTTCCTCTTCCTCTTCTGCTGCTCATCCCTCTGCTCCCCCTCCTCATCTTCATCTTCCTCTTCCTCTTCTGCCTCCTCCTCCTCGTGCCCCCCTCCTCAGCCGCCGGTCCTGTGGACACCAGGGCGTCCGCCTTATAGTTCCGAAAGGGGTTGCTGTCAGATGTGCGCGGCTTCGATGGAGTGCCGTCGCCTGTAGCCTGGCGATGGGGCGGAGACGGGTGACGACGACGAGGGGTGCGGATAGAGGAAAGCATGAGGAACAGGAACTTGCGCAGCTGGTGAGGAATACGAGGACGAGAAGGATTACGTGGGGGCAGTGGGAACATGAAGGCGGGAACCACTATCAAAAGGGGGGTACACCCGAAACAGGGTCACAAGACTGACTTCCCAGGAGGCCCGCAAAAAGGCGAAACGAGGGAAGGCTAGCGGTATGGAAGGGGGGGGCTTGTTAGACGCCCGCCCGGTCTCCAAGAAGCCCTCTTAGAAGCCTCGGGGCCCTTCTAAGACGGCTCCTGCCTTCCAAAAGAAGCCCCCCCCGTCCCCGCACCAAATTTTCCGACAGCGTTTCCCCGGCTCGTGTCACCCCCTCGTGGGCGCCGCCGCCGCACGCACCACGATGCCCGAGCCCGTCGCGCTCGGAATTCCCGGCCCGAGGGCGAACCCGCAAGACGCCTCCGAGGCCACAGGGGGGCCTCGCTTCCACCATCGGCCCGTGCCACTCTGCGGGGGCTGCCAGAAGCGGCTCTGGCCCAGGATGGCACCCGCCTTTCTCGCCCTCTCGGGCCCCCTGGGGCCTCATTCCCAAATAGCTCCTTGGAGAGCTAAGGGGGTTGTAGAATGAGAAGCCCGCAACGCAAGGTGGCCTGGAAGCTCTTTCCGGCGCCGGTCAAGCAGCCTCGCAGCGGCTTGCGCTTGAACTCGCAGCGTGTTCTGGCAAGCCTTTTCCTACTCGTTCCCAATACGCGTGCCTGAAGCCTTCCCGCAGCTCCTTCGAAGCTTCTTCGGAGCACCTGCGAAGCTTCCGTCTCGAGCTTGTAAGCTACCCAGACATCCTTTCAAGCGTTCTTGCATGCTTCTCCCGGAGGCGTTTCACGCGCTTGGGACTGCACCGCTATCCTGGTCTCAAACGACAAAAGTGGGCCTCCCTGGAATTGCTGGGGTCACCTACCTCGGCACAGTGCAAACTCCGACAGCCCCCCACCTATGGGAGCGCCTCCGCCCGGCCCGCCAACCGCCCCCCAGTCGCCTCTGGAGCGCACGGGGCGGGCCCTCTAGAAGGCCCCCCTGGCGCCTTAGCGGACCTCCTCCTCCTCTTTCTCCTCCTCCTCCTCCTCATCCTCCTCCTCCTCTTCAATCTCCTCCTCCTTCACCTTCTCCTTCTCCTTCTACTCCTCCTCCTCGTCGTCCTCCTCCTCGCCCTGCATCTCCTCTTCAGTCTCCTCCTACTCCTCCTCCTCCTCCTCCTCCTCTTCCTCCTCCTCCTCCTCCTCAATCTCCTCCTCCTTCTCCTTCTCCTCCTCCACCTCCTCCTCCTCCTTCATCTCCTCCTCAATCTCCTCCTCCTCCTCGTCCTTCTCCTCCTCCTCTTCCTCCTCCTCCTCCTCCTCCAAGCCCTCCGTGGGCCATCCTCTGAGCAATCCTTGGACCCCTCTGGGCTTCCCCCGGGGGTTCTCCTCCTGGTCCTTCTGGAGCTCGCTGGGGCTTCTTAGGGCCTCTTGGAGCCTCCTGGGCACTGCCAAAGATTCGCTTGGGGCCTCATGTGGGCTCCAACGGGCCGCAATAAGGACCGCCGGGAGCGAGAGGGCTGCGTTCCGTGATTCCTCCATCCTCCATCCTCCCTCCTCCTCCTCCTCCTCCTCCTCCTCCTCCTCCTCCTCCTCGTCCTTCTCCTCCTCCTCCTCCTCCTCCTCCTCCCTCCTCTCCCTCCTCCTCCTCTTCCTCCTCCTCCGCCTCCTCGTCGTCCTCCTCCTCCTGTCCTCCTCCTCCTCTCCTCCTCCTCTTCCTCCTCCTCCTCCTCCTCCTCCTCCTCCTCCCTCCTCGTCCTCGTCGTCATGCTCCTCCGCCTCCTCCTCCTCTGCCTCCTCGTCCTCGTCCTCGTCGTCCTCCTCCTCCTCCTCGCTCTCCTCCTCGCCCGGCGTTTTTCCTTGAGTTCGGCCTCCAGGGACCGAGCACGGATCCGGGGCGAAAGGCTGCCCCCAAGGGGGAGGGGTCGGGGCACCCAGAGATCCGACGCTCCGACGAAAATTGGAGCAGGCGGTTTTTGGCCGTTTTCGGCATCATCATCATCATCATCATCATCATCATCATCACCACCACCACACCATCACCATCACCATCACCATCACCATCACCATCACCATCACCATCATCATCACCACCACCATCACCATCATCATCATCATCATCATCATCATCATCATCATCATCATCACCACCACCACCACCACCACCACCATCATCATCATCATCATCATCATCATCATCATCATCATCATCATCATCATCATCATCATCATCATCATCATCATCATCATCATCATCATCATCATCATCATCATCATCGACAGCATCATCATCATCAACATCAGCATCAACATCAGCATCAGCATCATCCGCATCAGCATCATCATCATCATCACCATCATCACCATCATCGTCAGCATCATCATCATCATCATCATCATCAGACAGCAGCATCGCATCATCCGCAGCAGCATCAGTCAGCCAGCAGCATCAGCCCAGCAGCATCAGCAGCATCAGCATCAGCATCAGCATCAGCATCAGCATCAGCATCAACATCATCATCGGCATCATCATCATCATCATCATCATCATCATCATCATCATCATCATCATCATCATCATTATCTCCGTTTCCGCACTGTAATAATTGTTGTTCCAGAATCATCCCCTCGCAGTGGAATGCTGGCAACCGAAAGAACGCGTCTGGCCGATCTCGCTGTGTCTGCCGCACGTCGGCGGACCCGCAGTTTCGAGAAGACCTCCACCGCGAAACGCGCGCCAAGACCGGGGTGCTCCCACACCGACCCCAGCTCAGGTACGCTTGCAAGTATGCGTTGCGAGCCCTATGATCACGAATGATTTAAGGGAATGGCAGAGGATGGCCCAAACATGCTCGCGTCTTGAAACAATCGCGACGGGAGATTTTTTGGCAGATTTCGGTCTCCAGGGCCCTCGCTGGGCCCTGGGACCGTCAAACAACTTTCGGGATGAAAAGCCGGCCTCGGGAAACGGGGGAGGGACTTCCTGGGGCCCTGTATTGAAAAAATCAAGACACCGGATGTCTGGGGCCGTACGGTGATCAGGGCCGATGCGCGGACAAGGACGTGTGAACATGGCTATCTTCGGGCGCCGGACCGGCTGCAGTGCTAGTGCGCCGATCTCCTGTACTCCGCAGCCCACCGCTCGACCGCCACGTCGAAAGACGTGGCGTGCTTCGGCTTTCCCTCGAAGCTGGAGCACGTGCTGGGCGCGAAGGAGAACGCAGCATCCAGCACGTTGCTGGTCTTGTTGTAAACGTTGTCCACAAAGTACATTGGCTTGCCCAGCAACAGCGCGCTGACTGCTATGTGCAACTTGTCTGCGATGACAGAGCGAGCCTGGCTGAGAAAATTCCGCGCGATCTGCACACAGAATTCCCAATCGTAGGTGTTGGATTTCTTTTTCGCCCCACTGAACCTCTGGTCCCGCGTGACAATGTAAGCCTCTTCCCACCCTCTGACTGTCCAGTAGGTCGCTTGCGGCAGCGTCTCCATCGTCTTCTCGACGATCTGCTTATTGCCTGCGAATCCCTTGACACTCTCCTCCTTCCTCATTGAGACCAATACGTCGAGCGGTGGGGATTCCAGGGCAGGCTCCAAAGGGCCCAGCATGAAGACGATGTCTGGCACCAGCACGTTCTCGCAACCCGTGTACAGTTTCTGCGCCATTGCGACTGAAGGCCTATCGCGCCAGAAGAAAACGGGGGGGACCTTGAACAACCTGAGCGCCTCGTTGATATCCTTTGCGTCGCTGTCCCTCTTTTTCGCGTCCTTGTAGAAGAACGACTGCGGCAAGCTCACGAACTGCACGGCGGGGAAGTGCCTCCCCACCATGAGCAGCGTCTCTATCCGCCCGCGCTGGATCCAGTGGTAGAGGTCCCCCCAGTTGCCCCCGCCGTGGTAGAGCACGACGCCCGTGCCGCCAGGCCCCTCCTGCCAGCCCCTGTTCACCAAATTTTCCCGAGAGCAGTTGGGATAGATGCCCGCGCGCAAGCAATTGACCTCAATGCAGCACACAATCTTCTCGACGTCGTCCGTCAGGGCGCACTCCTCCAGCAGCATCTTCTCGCCTATGTTGATGAGGTTGTCCCCGATGTTGTTGTGCAGCGCAGGGTCCATGCACAGAGGAGCAGAAACAGGCATGCGCATGAGCTTCTGGAGGTCCGCGCGGATTTCTTGGCTCTGCGCTGGACCCCCGTCCCCCCCGGCGCGCTCCGCGCGCGTGGGTCCGCGCCGGAGGCGCTGCCAGCGGGGCCCCGCGCAGATCCAAGAACTCTGCGCGGAGCTCCAGAGAGGCTTTATGTGCTCGTGCCGCCTCCCGCTCCTCCCCCTGTAGACGACGTGCTGCGGCTTCGGGGCTCCCCCGGACCGCCCCTCGCAGCCGATGGCGCGGCCTATGGTGTCCAGGATGGCGCCCTTCAGGCTCCACAGGCAGTCTGCCACGGTGGGGGGCCGGGGCGCCGAGGCTGCGCCTGGGGCGTGGCGCGCCTCCCCCCGCGCCTCCTCCACGACCGCCGCTGCGCCCTGGGGCCTGTCGACCTCCGCTTCCGCTCCGGGGGGAGCAGAGGCGGCAGACAGGGGTGGCCCGACCACAAGACGCCCTCCACGAGAAGAGCCCAACCCCGAAGCCCCAGGGCGTCTATCCGATTCCTGGCGCGGCAGCGCCACGCCTGCCACCGCGAAGCCGTCGAAGCCCAAGAAACCCAGGGCACCCTGGAGGCAAGCAAAGCGTTTCTTGCCATGGGCTTCCACTGGAAACGCAAGCTGCCGGAGCTCCGCGCGGACTCCTTGCATCGGCGCTGGCCCCCCTCGGGGGCGCGCCGCCTCCCTCCGGCGTGCTCCGCGCGCTGGGGAGAGGAGGTGTCGGCGCCGATCCGCGACATGCGCGCGGAGCTCCGGCAGTTTATATCTGTGCC